TTAATGCCTACTTGTAAAGCTGTTTGTGCAAATCTCAGGTTTGCTAGACTTACTCTTTACAATATCCAAAGCGGTTGTCACTAGATAGAGAATGCTCATAAATGCAGGCATTCAGGTAATTTATGTACTTCCAAGCAGTCCTAAACTCCTCCCCATGCCAATAAACGAAAATATTTATGTTTATGCAAATTTCAATGGACGTTGTTGTTATATCTGTCAAAAAGTTCATTTTCGAAAGTTAAAGTATAGCCTCCTTTGTTATTTATTATAATTACTTCTCAGCATTTGTGTTGAAGAAACATGAAAATCTACGATCTCATAAAAGCGTACCATAAAAGGATAAAATCAAAGGTGAACTACCATCTGCAGCAGGTGATGCAAATGCATGCTGATCGGGCTGCCAAGTTGTAAAAGTGTTCTGGATGAGGATCCGCTGAGGGTAATTGTCATCCTTGATAAAACGTGAACACGATCCCAAGCTTGTAACCCCTAAACCATAAACTATGCAAAAAACGGAAGCACTAAAGCAAGGAGACAAATTCAAAGCAACAACCAAGTGGTCTGTCAACTTCACTGAGGAGAATATTTTCGAGTTGTGAGAACAGTCGCGTTATATGAGAATCAGTAAACCCCTAGCTTACTTTCATTCACATGACAAGGCGTGTGAGAATATATCGTCAGCTGAACAGAATGGAAAGAGATACCTGATGTCAACGTTGGATACGCTAATTATTCCCATAGACCGCTTTAGAAGAAATATTAGAGGGTGAGTACACTTATCTCGATTAAAGAGCCACAGCGAAAGCTCGTCTGAGTCATTTGATTGCAGAAACTTGCGTGCATAAGTTGCAATGTTTGCATACGATAATGACAATGTCAAATTAGGCCCCACGGCCACCGTTTAAACGTTTACCCAAATCCAACCAACAGGTTGTTAATGGTCGAGGATAAACTTACAACAATGTTCTTTTGGAAAAAAAATATAAGAAACTAGAGTAAACACTTTTTATTCTTCAAAAATGCCTGCAACTACTGATACCATTTAACCCGTGTACGAATTGTATCGTACTATTAGTAGTAGTAGTAGGTTCGATCGCTGACTTCTTCAGAAAACTCGAAAACGTTGTGCACTTATGTTGCTTGATTACGCGTCGGCTATCTAGGGTCTTAATTAGTTCACTTATCAATGCACTCCTTGAAAGTTTCATTCAAAACAAGTTTTCATATTCTGTTTTCCAATCACAAATAGTTGGCGAATGTGATGACCACACTACTTAAAACCGACTTCTGCAATGAGAAGTGGGGAACATACGAGCTCTTCTCCTCTGCAATTAATAAATAATAAAACACCGCGCTAAGTCAATATGGACTTTCTCGGGAATAGAGGACGGCCAGACGCAGATTGCAGACTTTCCTCTCGAATAATTAGGTGCCACTCCCCTATGCGGAAGTAAAAATTAGAATAAAGGTCGAAAAGCAAATGGATGACGGGTTTCTTGTTTTTATTCTCGTTGGGCAATATTGTGGGGACGTACACTGGTAGTTATGTACACGCACGCCAATTGGAAATAAAATGGGGTGATTTTCGAAGGTGTTTAGTACGTCCAGGGAGAGGCTATTAGGTCAACTTAACCGAAGAGGAGATATTTCACATTGTGGCTTGGGCGGCAAGGGTAGTCGCTCCCATGTAATCGATAAATAGGTAAAATGGTTGCAGCCAACTGCGAAAAAATGTAAGGTCACACTCTAAGCAAACAGCATGCGCCATTAGCATATAGAATTTTTTTATAATAGCTGAGTTGCTTAGTTCATATCCTCTCTGGTAATTTAAACGTCTATTTTATTAACATAAACCAATTTTGACATGTGGACTGACTATCTAATTTGTTTAGAGACGGTTCTTTGGATTCGTACTTGCCAAATTACAATCTGAAAACGCATTATACATAGAAAATGTGCCTACACGTCATTTCGAACCTAAATAAACATATATGTTACAAAAGATCAACAAAACGGTCTGAACTCTCGTGTGAAATACTCAATTGTAAAATATCTCTCAATCTCCGTTGTAAAAAAATGGCGGCATTTTCTGCAAGATATTTATTTTGAATTTCATTGCGTTTTCCTAAACAAGTAACTTAGGTTGTTCACTACATTTTCAAAAGGTCCGTTAGTAGATGCCAAAAACATTCTTTCCTATTTTGTGCAGACGATATACAGACACTCTTCGCCTTTAGAACAAGCTACTTTTCTTACGACCGTTGTTATTTACCATCAATATACCTGGCATTATACTTTACTTAAAACTGCATCCCGAAATAAGCATGATAGTAACTCAATGCATGGGATAACTGTTTCATTTAATATACTAGTGCGCTAGTAATATATGCATTCCTTCCGTTCGTATGCTCAACATTTCGTAATTTGCCAGTTGTAAATAGAGAAGTGTCTGCAAATCAACCGCAAGGTGTCGTTGTCATAAAAAGTTGATAGATTAATATGATTGCCTCCAACGTCAATCGCAATTGCCCCTTTTGTGCATAATCCGTTCGACTTCGGCTAGACAACGTTAGAAACCAATTCTTGAAGTCGCCTGCGCTAACAAATTGGGTTTTAAACTTACATGACGTACACCACCCAATAAGTAGGGTTTTGCTAAGACTAACCATACACTTAAGCACCGAAACGTAGCAGATCTGAACCCTGTTACTAAGAGCAGTGCAATCTATGTGTAAGTGTCAAGTTTATGCAAACCCTGCGTCCCAATGAATCAGACTGTGGCCTTTAAGTAGAATAACGCTATTTTGACGCTTATGCCGAATGCAAAAGACGAAACGTAGGATGGCCGGTGTCCTCTAACTTCTTACCGCAGACACCTCTTCTCTCTTTTACCTGCCTCTGCTTCAGGTCTGTTTTCGAGATACGTCTACGACTTTTACGCAGCTCTGAATTCTCAACAGGTCGACTAGTCAACATGAAAGAGTCAACATCAAACCCCAGATTGGTCAGCTGTACACCTAACAACATGTTTTGTGATACTACCGTATTCTCGTTGATGATTCATTCAGCTTCTTATTTTAGTATAGATTTTATAATTTAAAACACGTTTTTTCTTAATATGTCCATATAGAGGTGTTGGGTATGATGCACTTAACGCCTGGACGATCTGCCTGGCGCATGCGCTGGACCAATACGGGGGTCAGAGTACGACATGGTACTCCCCTAAGAAATGTCGAATATGAGTGAGCGCTGGTGGCACGCAGGGGAGCAGACTCACGCACTACGTACCCTTTGCCCTTATTGCACTCTGTATGATAGGAGTCAGGCATGGTGGCTCTGACCTTGTGCGCAGAATTCCACCTTCATCTTCTTGACTGTGTATTGACAAAGGCCATGGGCGGGTGAGATGACAGAGAGTGCGTTAGCAGCCACGCACGTCTACTATCATTTAAAACTAATCAATCCTACATTATGAAACTCTGCAGCACATGGTTGAACCCGTCAAATCGACCGTCGAACTGTCTATGTGATGTACAACGTGACTGTGCCGCAACGTTAACCCCACAAAATTCCAGAAAAAGTGTTTTTTAACCTAAATCGCATCGTCTGAAACGGTAAGCATGTTGCAGGAGAAACAATTCATTGTTTCGACAAACAACGACCAAAATGGTAATTCCAGCTTCATGTTACATAAAGCTAAATGACGTCACCACTTGCCAAGTCACTTTGACAGTAGCACAAACATTGCAGCTGATACTTCCGTGGAGGTGACATCCTGCCAAAGTGTATTTCCTCTACATTTAACCTTTCAGTCTTTTGTAGTTAACCTCAGCACCTAGAAGTCGATGAAGGGTAGCACGCGCTGACCACAAAACATGAATCACGAAAATTTGGAGTAAACGCTTAGGGGCCTACCGTCAGTGGGCCTGTAGTACTTTGAATATATATAATATATTTAGCTTTGTGAAAGCGCCTGTCCCTGATGCAAACTTGAGAATCTTCAAATTTGTGAAATTAAGCAAGCCTAGAGGACAAATATTTTAAGGATAATAGACAGCTTAGCCCCAGAAATCATGCACCAACTCAGTCTGTATGCACTTATGTTCGGTGATTAAATTTCTTGATGTTCTCAAACCCGAATTTTCTTAAAGTTTTCACCGTTACTAAGGCCTAGTCAGCCCAAGACCCGTTTTTTAAGTGCAAAGATACTGAGAAGAATCAATATATCAAAGGATTACATTTAAATATTCGCTTGGTACATGCGACATTACCGCCGCGGCAATCGCTTTTGTCCCCTCATTAGCTATGCCCTTGACAATGACCTTGAGACAGCCTACGCGCCAGCGTAGACAAGAGCAAAATCGTAACATTTCCGGACGCGCGATACAAAGTCCACCTCAGACGGCTGGCGGTTTTGCGCTGTTGGACATCCGTACAATCAGGAAACACTAAATGTAATTGTATCGTTTTTACACTACTTAGTCTCATGGTTGATGCGCTTGTAACACACATGATAAAATGTAATTCAAACTTTCGCACACAAGTGTCTTAAAATAGTCTTTTCTGCGAATACTTTAGTTTAGTATCGCTCTAAGTGTGCAGGTCTATTGCAGATGCCTCACAGCGAATGGCAGACTTCCCTTCACTAGTGAAGGTTTTTCGCCTGACCGCAGCTACAGATTCGCAATGTGTTTCCCATTCAACAGTCTGTTTCGTGTTAGTAGTGTTCTTGTGAAGAATAACAGCACCAAGCAGACATCGATTATGCTTAACATTAAATGAGCTCAGATCACTGTGATTGCAAACACTGAAAGTTGTTTTGTTCATCCTAGTTCTTACCTACTGTGCTTGCACGTCAATGGTTCCATACCGAAGGACCATTAGATAACTGCTTCATGTAGTTGAAGTGAAGCACGTTAATCAAAAAATCGCTCCGGTCACGACGCAACTCAAATACGAACAAAAACGCTTCATTAAAGATCAGTAAGTTAAACTGATGCTTAGGAGAACTTAAAGTACTTTACGATAAAATTATTTGCGGAATAAATAAAAAGAGATTGGAAATACCAAAACCGCAATACGACCTCACATTTCTGATTGCCTTTGTCCTGATTGATGTCTGGGAGTTCCAGAACATGCTCCAGAGTCCGGCTCTCTGACCCCGTACTGGCCCCGGAACAGGACTCGTCACAGATAATGACAGCGAATTTGCCGGTTGGATTACAGGAGCATTCACAGCCAAGAGGATCAATCCATCTGGTAAATAGTCCACGTTTTACGCCTAATGAATCGAGGCAGAAGGTAGAATCCAGGAGAATTTCACTCACAGACGTCTCTTCCTCCTCACCAGATGTGTCTCTTGTCCGCCGCGGGCTTGAGGTGAGAATAGCGCCAGAGCGCGTGGACACGGTCGTGGAACTGTCAAAGGTGTGGAGTAAAAGCAACGTCAACAGAAGGGGAGACGTGGAACAAAGATGAAATGTCAGTCTATGGGGTACGAAGACTTCCATTAAATGCATTATGAATGTCACTATCGGGAAGGGAGACGACGACTGATGACTGTGTGCCTCCTCATACTTTGAACGCTTATATTACTCTTATGTGGTTTGTCACAACGCTTCTTGAGCGCAGGTGATCCGGAGGCTTATGGGCGTCACTTTGAAGCTACTTTTGACAAACTATTTTAAAGCAGTCCTGTTAAGATTCCATTGTTAGTCATTAGCAGTGTCCTACACTCTAGAGCGCTTATCTTCTTGTGTGTGTATGTTTTCTTGAGTGGATCATATTGAACGAATAAACCGAGCGCGTAAACGCACAAGCACGAGCCAATTGATTCCGCCGGTAAAACCGCGCCCAATTTGAACAAGTTATTTTGAGCCAATCAACTAAGCCGTGGTCTAAGGGTTGGTTGAAAGACCTGTTTGCATTGTATGACAGTGGGCATTTGAGCGCTTATTAAAAATAACACCTTGTCCTGATATTTTTGGAATACCACAGGCTTTTAGCTTACTTTTGTTATTTTTCTGTCCATGCAAAAGTAAAATATTTGTATTTAGAACCGTCAAGTTGGCCTTGACTGCTGGTGGATACATTCGATACGTAGTTTATGTATCTGAAAATTTAAGAAATTTGATGTTATGGATTATTAATTGGTTAAATTCATTAGAAAACGCGAACGCCAAGTAACTATTGAAGAAGATTAGTGGACAGAACGATTGCCGGCAGCCTTCTATAACTTGTCTTTGCTTTCCTACTTAGGACTCTGGTTTCTTACGGCGTGTATGAGAGAGTGCAGACTCCGATTCATTTAGCTAACACTTTCACCCATTCGTACGTTGCACTTAGCGTGTGCTTGGAAAAATCTGGTTGTTTTGGAGGGCTGTTTGGTCATCAGTGTCACCTTTCAGAATCCCTCTTACAGCACACTAGTTCCCTTGGCAACGCTTAAACCTAGTGAGTGACCAAATTTTGACTGCCTCATTTGGATAATTTAGCTAACGTGCTTGGTGACGATGGATTTTTTCTATAAAGTACCACAAGCGGTGGGCCCGGACATTGCAAATCAATTGGTACATAATACATGGGGATATATTTATAACATTTCGAGACAGCTTATTCCCTGGTCTTTTTATGAAGGACTGCAGAACACAGTTTTGCATATACGTTCTAGGGGTGAGAACGCGGCAGTCAGGCTAAACACAATAGCGTCAAGCCCAGAGTCACATCGGTGTCGATAATTATATCGATTGCCAAATGTGTGTATCGTGTTATTAACTTTATTCTTGCGTCGGAGAAGCAATCTCTCTCAGCACCACAAAAACTATCATGCGCATCTAAATGAAACGAATTATTTAAGGGGATCTGGAGTGTGTCAGATAGAAACCTAAAAACGAAAGTATAAGTTGCGTTTAAAATACTTTTTCTCCGGAACATGTGAAAGCGCACACCATGCTTTACGGAATAGCCTCTGAAGCAAACTGCTGGTCTCCAAAAATACCACCTTCAAGTAGTTAAGATAATACAAACCTAATATTTTTCTTTCTTCTGGATGCTTATTAATGTTTACCCATGTTTTGCTATAGGAAGGAGCCTTTTAATAAAATTCAACACAAGGTCCGTTCAGTAAGTACAAAAAAGCATGTAGTTCTGAGTTTAAGAAGAAGAAATCGAGGAGGTAGGAAGCCTCGCAAGCAATACTGGTGGCCATGTGCTTAATTCCAGGAAGGTCGGCTGTTTGTATGAAGTTAGCATATAGCCACCCACATTACGAGGTTACGTATTTGCGTGCCTTACCTAAATTCGCTAATCCAATTCTTTTTAGGATTACTTATATAGCCTTTAATTCTATCAATGCTGCTCAGAAAACTCTCAAAGATGAAAATAAGTTTGTCTTTTTCGTCAGAAACAGTAGCTATCCTGTATGCGTGAATGCAAGTAGTTTCCGTGTAACAATATACACTGAGGCGGGGATTATATGTAAACTTATATGTTTTCGTTCCCCTTTATAGCTTGGCCAATGTGTTTGTCATAGAAGTGGTGGAGTTTTGGTTATACTTCGATTTAAACTTGGAGTCTGGTTTAAGTTTAGATTTGTATATTTGGATTAAGAATAGGTAAGAAGTTAAATCATAGGTGTTGTAATAAGTTAAGGAGTTAGAATCAGGTTAAGAGTGATGCTGTTGGGTGCCATTTATCGATGTCGTGGTTCGCAATTTTATACCTTTTAAGTCTCAAACCTTTGCCAACAATTTCTCACGTAGACATAAATAATTATTTCAAAAGCTGTTCTTTCATTTAAACGCTATCCTATAAAATGAGTATGGAAATAAAGACAGAATGAGTTGAGATGTCTCTGGTTCGTCTAGTATTAAGTTAAAGTTACCTCACCTTGCCTGCTAGTCAACTGTGCAACTTTGGGTATAGTTTTTCACATGCGTCTGTATGATATTACGGTTGCGCTTAGATATATCTTACACTGCATTCTAGTGCGTGGTTACATTTTCAGCTACTTTTTACTTAAATGTTTATCAAAGTACGCATGCGGTTAATCGCTTCCTCTGCGCCAGTCCTTAAGCCTTTTGTTTTTATGCAAACTTCACACCGCGAAAATGAAAATGAACTTCCATAAACGGATTACTTGAACGTGAAATATAGTCCATGTGATTACACATCGCATTAAGGTCACTAGGACTCGCACTGGGTCATCCTTCCTATTTCCAGTCTATCTGAATACGTAAACTATCCTTACCAGATTATTTATGTGGCTCACAGCCCTTTAAGTGTTGTTTGCGTTGCGCTCAGTTGTAAACTGTTTACCTTTCCTTGTTCCCTGAATTACCGCTAACACTAGACCTAAACTGAAACCTAACTTTAATTTTTCTGGGATTTCAGGCAAATCCATTGGTATTATGGGACGTTTCTATTCACGTATCATAGCAGAGGACCACAAAAAACCTATAATAGTGGGCCCGATATGAGCAGTCGTGAGACCTGTGAACGTTGCATTTACGCATCCATTCTAACTACTAAGGGTCCAGCAGCTGAAAGATGAAATGCACTAAAAGAATTTTACTATTTTACGTTTATATTTTTCGCTCATCCACGTTGTCTTTTCCTTCTTGGGCTTAAAGATTAAGAAAGTATATTTACAGGCGTATGACATATGGTTTCCCTTACGAGCAAAACACCTGTGATGCTTAAAAACCAAACGACAGAACATTGTTTTTATTTTTGGGGGCCACAGCATTGTGCTATTTTAAAATACTATTTAAAATCTGAAAGAAGCTGTCTCAGCAATATAGACGTGCACAGTAAACGATGGGTTTCATTGAATAGAAACTGAGTTAACAGAAACAATTTCGTAGGCGTGTTAATTTAATCATTTATTCCAAATCGCTATTTACAATTATTCGTCTTAAAAGCAGACGTAATACCAAAACGTCGAAAATTTGTCGTTATCAACCGTGAAGAGAAAGCAGTTGATAAACTGTCCTATCCACCTTATCTCTGCAGAGGCCAGCTGTGCGATTACCTTCTCCGTATCGCATATCTCCCTATAGGGAGGGTACCGTCTGTTTTGTGAGAATGCCGGATTTTCGATCACTGGATGTTCTGGTTTTTACAAGGACAGGAGTGCCTGCATCCTAAAAGTATTATGTACCATTCCTGACTTGTGCTTTCACGCTACGTAAAGTGGAGAATTTCATGTTCTCTCAAAAGGAAGAGCATTTTTATACGGGTTCTGAAAATAAAGACTGAATCAGTATCCGTAATAGGGTCTTTTGCTATTAATCTTGTCCTTCCTCAGATTCTTAGCTGGGACTGTCCAGACAAAAGTTCTTTTTCGCCACTTAAAATTATGATCGGCACTCAATCATCTATACAGGTGATCTTTCTTATTTGGATGTATCGGGCTGCTGCTTTATATATGCGCATATGTGATGCACTTTTACAGGCTTATTCTCAAAGTCAAGTTTTATGGTGCCGAGTGTAACTTTTTGGGCAACAAAAAGGGAAACTGCAGACAATGGTATGTCCCTTACGTACTACAAAATCTTTTTTAGGTAAATAACTAAAAGGATGATTTTTTCGTGCATCTTTTGTCCACAATCTGTTATTTCCTGAATCATATTGAGGCCAATGCACTGTTGCAAGTGTTTTTGACTTTTAAATTATATCACGTGAACGTGTAAAATCATACATTACCTAATGTCCTCAGGAAACGGCTATGGAACATTAATAAAGGGATGCACACTATGCCATTTAAATCTATTTTGTGCCCTTTCAAAAAAAGCATGATTTTATGCTTTTTAAAACTTCACTTATGTGATTTCTTTTGAGTTGGCATTTTCAAGGGGGTAGATAAACTACCAAAGGTTTAAAACCATCATATCATTGAACCTCCTTTCTAAGAGGAAAATGTAAATTTGTTTTGATACTAAAAATACAATGGAAAAAAGAGCATACTACCTAGGTATTCATTTTCCCGGTTTTAGTCCCTGTAGGTAGTCGGGAAGAGGCGCACTCAAAACTTTTCATTCCGTTTCGAATGAAATGTCTTGGGAGGATTCCACGCAGTATTCTTGGGGATATTTTCTAATCGACAATGTATTTGAATTTTTTGGCTAACAATTCACGAGGCCACACACTGACTGTCAGATTATGGATGGATTTAGACTTAGGCTTAAAACTGATCTGTAACAGACCATTAAAGGGCTGCAACGTGCAGCCTATACTGTTCTTCTTAATGGAAATATGCCATTTATTTCATCGAAAGAATGTTTTTATAAGGCCATCTCGACTTTCCACATGGCTGGTTTAGCTCATTGCTGACCTAATTTAAGAGACGCTGCAAAAATAAATTTATTATCCTGCCTTTCCGGACTCTCGCTCAAACCCATCATCAGAATTAGTCGCATCAGGAACGCATAAGATTCCGCATATGCAAACCCTTCAGCGAGACATAAAAGGAACAGCTACCTACCATGATGGGCCGTAAAACCTGCGTTTA